ACGGGCGCGTGTGTGAAGGGGGATGGGGTGTAGTGGCTACCTGACGGCTCCTCTGTAGTACTTTCTTGGGTTCGTATACCAGAATCCCCCCACAACTAGCCCCAAAGGGAACTACGTTAGAGCCTTCAGGTACAGACAGTTGTTCAGGGTTTGGGGTTCCGGGCTTCGGGCATAGGGCAGCTTAGGGTGGGTCTTAAACCCTAAACCCTAAACCCTAAACCCTAAACCCTAAACCCTAAACCCTAAACCCTAAATCCTTGGGGTGCAAGGTGCCAGCCCAATCTGAGCTCTGGCTGAACTACCGCCACATCCTGACGCACGCGCCGGAGGTGCAGGCCAAGTTGGGCAACGACCTGAAGGACCCACCCTCAAAGCCTAAACCACTACAACCCCAAAGCTCTAAACCCCTAAAACCCTAAACACTTAAGCCCTAAACCGCTAAGCAAGGACTTGGGGCCTAACAGCTTCTATTGGAGCCTCCTAAACCTAAATCCCTATCATAGACCCCTAAACTCTTAGACCACTAAAGCCTAAACCCCGAAACCCTGACCCCAAAATCCCTGATCCCTAGACCCCGAAATCCCTAACCCCTGTACCCCTAAACCCCTAAACCCCAAAACCCCTAAACCCCTGTACCCCTAAACCCGAAACCCCTGAACCCCGAAACCCCTACACCCCTGTACCTCTGTACCCGAAAAAACCCGACACTTCAGGAGTACCGCCCACAGCGCTGGCTGGGACCCGAAGGCCTTGTTTTCTAGGACCAGGTTCAGGTGGGTTTAGGGGTTGAGGGTTGAGGGTTGAGGGTGTAGGGTTTAGGGATTTAGGGGTTTAGGGTTTAGGGTTTAGGGGTTTAGGGTTGAGGGTTTAGGGGTTTAGGGTTGAGGGTTGAGGGTTTAGGGCCCTAGAGATCTGCCCGAAACCCTGAGTGTAGGGCTTCGTGGTTTGAGCTTCAGGGCAGACGTCGAAGGCTCTAGGTTTGGGGGCTTAGGGTTTATGGTTTTGGGTTCAGAGTTTAGGGTTTTAGAGGGGATGTTGCAGAAGGGCTGCTGACAAGCGACTTCGAGTTTGGGGTTGGCATCCGTAGAACTTCTGGCCTCTGAATTCTGAACCCTGAACCCTAAGCCGCAAGGCCTAAACCCCAAGCCCTAAACCCTAAGCCCTAAACCGTAAACCTAAACCCTAAACCTAAACCCTAAACCCCAAAACCTGCGGTTTGCAGCCGTAGGGGTCTCGAAAGATTCTTGAAGGGCACCTATTTTTGCGGGGCCGAACGTGTGTTATAGGGTTCTTAAGGGAGGGGTTCATGGGGGGCAGGTACCTGGGGAACCTTCGGGAAGCTTAGGGACCCTTAGAAAGTAGTGGGGGGCATTAAGGGTTTAGGGGTTGTAGGGGGACTGGCTGTAGGGTAGGTCGAAGAGGAGGTATGGGAGTCCGGGGCGAGGTGGTTTAGCAGCTCACGCAAGGCATCATCAAGCTTCCGCCTTTCGACAGCCTGCCATTTGGGCAGCGTCCTTAGAAGGTCTATGCGCATCTCGAAGCCCTAAGCCTAAGCCCCAGAGAGAAAGGTTTGTGAGGTTTGCGTTGGTTTTTTCTCGAGGCTGTTAGGGTTGTGGGGCCCCACGCCCCCACCCCCCCCGCACAGCCTAAGGGGCTTTCAACGAGTTTCGGCAACATCTCACGAGGACTTATGGGTGCCCTCTTGGGCACCCTACCATCGTATGACGCCCGGGTATCTTCCTACCCCCAAAACACCCTAAAACCTCCCTCCAACCCTAAACCCGAAACTCCTAAACCCCCAAACCCTCCGCGCCTAAAAACTCCACACTCCCCAAAAAGTTTTCCTAAACCTTAAACCGTAAACCCTAAACCCTAAACCCTAAAAACCTTAAACCCTAAACCCTAAACCCTAAACCCTAAACCACCCTAAACCCTAAACCACCCTAAACCCTCCTAAACCCTAAACCCTAAACCCTAAACCCTAAACCCTAAACCCTAAACCCTAAACCCTAAACCCTAAACCCTAAACCCTAAACCCTAAACCCTAAACCCTAAACCCTAAACCCTAAACCCTTCGCGTCCGAGGCATGGCGCCCGCATCTGCCTTGGTCGCCAGCTGGCCGACTACGAGGGTAAGCTGGTGCTAGCCAAGGCCTGATGCAGGGCTTTAGAGGGGTTGAGGGTTTAGGGTTTAGGGTTTACGGTTTAGGGTTTTGGGTTTTCGGGGTTAGGGTTTAGGGCTCTAGGGTTTAGGGCTTGGGGTTTAGGGTGGGGCTTTGGGGCTTCCAGGGCTTTTTAGGGCTTGTAGGGCTGCTAGGGCTTCTAGGGCCTTGGGCTGGGTTGGGGATTTCGGGTTTCGAGTTTTGGGGTTTAAGGTTTGGGGTTTTGGCTTCATAGGGTTTAGGGCTTGGGGCGTTCAAATTGCTTGTCTTGAGGGCGGGGGGGGGGGGGGGGGTTTAGGGTTCCAGTGTTTTCAGGCTATGCGGTTTCACAATTTCGGCCGAACAGCAACCTCCACGCAACTTGGTGACGTAGGTCCTAGGTTCAGGCTTCGCCTAGGTGCGCAAGCAGGCGGGGGCCATCTAAAGCGCCAAGCCCCAAACCCCAAACCCCAAACCCGACCCAATGCGGCAAGGTGCTGCAGAACTTTGTCCTGGAGAAGTGGACCAAGCCGCCGATGGAAGAGATGACCACTTTTGTTGTCGTTCCTGCCACAGATGTCATCGTCGGTCTCAGGCGCCGCTAGTTCGGGCACTAAAGACGCCGCAAGTTTTACAGTTTTACCTCACCCACAAAGTGTACAGGGGCGGCACAGCCGCCCGATGGGCCGGTGTTGACAGCATGAAGTCAGACCTCCATGATGAGCCCCGTATTGTTTGGGGTTTCGGTGTGGGGTTTGGGGTTCTGGTGCGGTAAGAAGGTGGAGAGCGATAAATTAGGCGATAAATCTGGGTTTATAGGGTTGAGGGTGTTTCGGATTAGTTGCCCGGGTTCTAAGTACGGTAACATATATTCTCAACATATATACATATACATACACATATGCATAACATATTATACATACATATATATATATACATATATATCTGTGTGTGTGTGTGTGTGTGAGAAAACTGGTCTTAACATTACTGGGGTTTAGGGTCTAGGGCTACTTCGAACCGTAGTTTCATACCTTAAATCCTACCCTCAACCCTGAACCCTAAACTCTGTGCATTGCTGGCTATCAAGCAAGACCTGAAAGCATCATGCTCAACTCTTCGCGTGGGGTTCTTGGAGCAGGAGAACCTGCAATCTGGGTTTCAGCAAGCTAGGGCTGACTTTGAGTCCCACATGGGGGTGCAGGTAGGGTTTAGAGTTTAGGGTGGCGTTTGCGGGTTTAGGAGTTTAGGGTTCAGGGCTTGGGGGTTTAGATCCTAAACCCGAAGCCCGAAATCTTTCAACTTGTGCTGTCGCAGCTGTCCTTGGTGTCCTCGTGCTGCATGACGTAAGCGCTGGCCGGCTTGGCTGCTGCGTCTTCGCGAGACCAATGCCCACCAGGGTTCGAGCTTTGAGGTGTGCAGGGCAGGGCAGACTTGGCTAAGCCCTAAACCCTCTGTACATTGTAAGCCCTTTAGAATTCTAGAAGACACAGACGACGGAGTTTGAGAGATCCCGGTAGGATGCGGAGAATGAGAAGTACTATGACGACGCTGTCGGAATAGGTACCGTAGCGGACAAGGATACCAGAGCATATTACATTCAATGAACCAGGTGCGCAACAGTAAGACCTGTAGAGGAATGCAGTGCGGACGTAACGAAAGGCGAGCTCTTCAACATCTGGATGGAGAGGAGAAAGCTGAGAGAGAGAGAGAGAGAGAGAGAGAGAAGCTGTAAGACATGAAGCCCTAAACCCTAAACCCTAAACCCTAAACCCTAAACCCTACACCCTACACCCTACACCCTAAAGCTTCAGAGAAAGCTTAGTCAGGCATGTGACAGAATCTCTTCGGAACAAAGCGAATGCAACTTCACTTCTTGCACAAGAGTAATGGGTTTAGGTTTTAGGGTTGAGGGTTTGGGGTTTCAAGGGTTTCAAGGGTTTAAAGGGTTTAAAGGGTTTAAAGGGTTTAGGGTTTAAAGGGCTAAAAAGGATTAAAGCGTTAAGAGGGTTTAGGGTGTAGGTGTTTTTGTATAGCCAAGTTGTTCAAACAGTGTGAACTCAAGAAATCAACCGATGATTCCAAGACATACAGCGCCTTGAAGAATTGCTATTGGTGTAGGGATTGCAAGGCCACGATACCTCAAACCCTGAACCCTAAACCCTAAACACCCTAACCCTCAACCCTAACTTATTTAGGGTCCTGAACTGCAGCCTTGGTGTCTTGATGCAATCGCATTGAATCATGTACGATCATCGAGTTGTCATATTGCCCTAAGCCCTGAACTGCATCATGGGTGCCCCTACTACACCCCTACACTATCCTCCCCCAGGTTCCCCCCCTGAATAACTTCATTCTGGGGGAAACCTAGGGGGGGGTAGAAAGAGGGTGGGGGCCTAGTTGGGGAACCCAAACCCCCGCATCATGAACTGCTCCCTTCTCTATCTGCGTAGCTTCAGCCTTCTAAGCCATGTGGGCCCCATATAAGAAGGACCCCAAAAAGGTACCCCCCCCAAAACCCTAAGCCCTAAACCCTAAACCCCAAACCCTAAACCCCAAACCCTAAACCCTCAATCCTAAATCCTAAACCCCAAGTTCATGCATACCCGGCCCGCTGCTGCCTCAGGCTTGGCAGATCTCGGCCCTTGGGAACCCCCCTGCTAGTGCAGAAGCTGCCATGATTCCCCCTATACTTGGAGTGTCAAGAAGGGTTAGGCTTTTGAGACTTTGAGGGTTTAGGGTCTTCCATCATAAAGATCTTCTCACCTTCCGCCCCCCAACTCCAGTAAGCCTGAACCTCCCCCAACCCCACGTGCGGCCTAAACCTTACGTCGGCGATGCCGTGGATGAACGGGCAGAGCCATGGCGGCCTGGGATAGCAGCCCTGGCTCTACTTGGTTAGGGTTTAGGGTTTAGGGTTTAGGGTTTAGGGTTTAGGGTTTAGGGTTTAGGGTTTAGGGTTTAGGGTTTAGGGTTTAGGGTTTAGGCTTTAGGGTTTAGGCTTTAGGGTTTAGGACCCCCCTGAACCCTTCAGTCCCTGACCCCTCGAAGTGTGTTCCCTAAGCCCTATAGAGCCTGAACCCTTTAGCCCCCTGATCCCTGACGTGTGTTTCGAAGCACCAAGCCTCAAAGAACAAGCCAGAAAGAGTTTTTTGCATGTCCTCAACACGGCCAGACCCAACCACACAGACTACTTGGCATGTCCGTCTAACCGTTTGTGCGGACTTAGGGAGTTCGGTGCCTAAAAGTTCTCTTCAAGCGTTATAAATGGGGATATAAGGTACCAAAGTCACCCCATGAGTCATTCACGGGAAGCATAAAGCATGGAATTCACATTCCTTTACACGTGCGAATGCATGTCACAGGCTTCTGAGCCCTCAGCCCTGAGCCCTAAGCCCCAAGCCCTAAGCCCTGATCCCTAAGGGTTTAGGGTTGAGGGTTTAGGGTTTAGGGTTTAGGGTTTAGGGTTTAGGGTTTAGGGTCTTAACCCCGAACAGCCCCCAGCCTCACCAGTGCCAGGTAGCAATGGCCAAAGCTATGCCGATTTCGAGGAGTTGAGGTGGCCCCCTGCCAGCTGATTCTTCGGCACCAAGCCCAAAACGCCCCTTAAACCCCAAACACCCTGAACCCCTCAGCCCCTAACAAGAACCCTAAATATCCCCAAGCAAAGCCTAAGCAGCTCTAAACAGCCCCAAAAAGAAAGCCTTTCCCAAAAAACCTACAAACCTCTGATACCCGAGCTCTGGGGAAACCCTGAAACCCTGAACAACTCCTAAACCCTCATCTTTGTCATAGTGGGGCAACGTTTTACATTTTCAAGGGTACTTAAGCTCAATAAGGAATAGAAATTTCAGCTTTTGATACTATCCCAACCATGAACTAGTCATCAGCACTCAAACTCTAAACCCTCCCCTGTTTCCCGTTCTCGGCGCCGCGCCGCGTTTGTGAGGTCCGCTGCAAGGCCTAAAGCCCCAGACACCACAAAGGACCCCTAAAGCCCTGGACTAGAGTTTGGGGCTTAGGGTTTGGGGAGGCTTTTGAGGTTGAGGATGCAGGGTTTGGGGTTTTTAGGGCTCTCAGGGAAGCCTGAAACTGAAAAATTTCCCTCCCCCCCCCTGCCCCAAGCCATGTCCTCCGGTAGGCAAGTCTATCGACGCCACAACCTGGTCGGCTGCCTACGGCGGTGGCACCAGGGGGACGCGCCGGGGGAGGCCCTTTGCTCCTCTTTGCTGCCGCGGGGACCCCGAAGCCCGAATAGCTACAAAGCCGACAGCACCGCACCCTAAACCCGAAACCTTGAAAATGTCAACTATTTCAAGTGTGCAGGGGTAACGTCAGGTGCAGGGCTCAGGCTCAGGCCCTAAGAGTGAAACCCTAATGGCCTAGTTGCTTTATTGCTTGTGGGCTTTATTCCCTGAAGCGTGAAGCCTGCCCCCTTCCGGCACCCCCCCACCCCCGCGTGCAGGCGTCTTGGCGCTTTCGCTTTGTCCGGCCTTGTACCTACGCCCCAGAGACCTAAGACCTACGTAAATCAATCTAGGCCCTACACCCCTCACCTAGGCACTACACCCTTAAGCCCTCCATGAGCGCCCCTCAAACCCTAAGCCACCCCAAAGCCCTGTAACCTGCTGGTCCCTGTAAATCCTAAACCCTAAACCCAAAACCTCCTGCAACCCTCTGCCAGTCATGGGGCTTGATCGCCAGCCTCACCGTACCGTGCGACGTCATCCTCGTCGATGATGACCCCTTGGGCTCGGGTAAATGGAGGTTCGGGTTTGAGACTCGAGGTTTCGGGGGCCAACTTTTGAAAGTTTCGATAGGGTTTAGGGTTTAGGGTTTAGGGTTTAGGGTTTAGGGTTTTGGGGTTCTCTGGGCTCAGCTTTCAGCGGGAGGCCCCCTCCCCAAACTCTAAACCTGAACATAACGCCCCACACGCTAAAACCCTAAAGCCCTCAAACCTTAAAACCCTAAAACCCTAGACCCTAAACCCTAAACCCTAAAGCCCTGTAACTAAAGCCCTGCGACTCCGGAGTCCCTCAATATTTCCAATGGGCGCAGGACGAGGAATTCCGCGAGGGCCAGATGGTTTCCTTCAATGTCGAAGTGGAGGACCCTTTCATTCGTAAAATTCTAAACCCTAAACCCTAACTAAACCCTAAACCCTAAACCCTGAACCCTGAACCCTGAACCCTGAACCCTGAACCCTAAACCCTAAACCCTAAACGGGGTTCAGAGGTGAGGAGTCAGCACTGCATCTGGGGTTCATAGGAGAATCAGGGGCGCAGTGATGGCCAAGCCTTGCGCCCAATCTCCCGCAACTACCCCCCACCCCTGTGGTTCCTACATAAGTATACTTGAAAAAAATCAAAAATCAGGCTATTCTAATTGTTAAGGCGCCTATAGTACCCCACCTACCACCTTCCACACCTAAAACGTCAAACTCCTTACATCCCAAAAACCAAAACATACCCTGAAGCTCGAAGCCTTGAAGCTCGCAGTCCCAGAGTCCTTTATCTTTGTGGTACTTTACTGTAACTTTAGATCCCTTTTTTTGGGTTTATTGGGTTTCTTATTAAGGCAGCTAAAGGTTTAATTCATAGCTACCCTCCTGAGTGCAGCCTAGCTTATCCTCTGCTACTCAGACATCTTTCTTCCCAAGGGTTGAAAGTTGCTAAGAGGGGTTGGGTGCCGGGTTCTGCCACTGGTGATTTACCGTAGTTGTAACTGGTTCTAAAGTTGAACTCGTCGTTCCTACTTCCAACTTCCCCGGCACCTTTAAGACCCGAGCCCGAAACCCTAAGGGTTCTTGTGGTCTTCTTTTCATCTAAGCCCTAAACCCTAAACCCTAAACCCTAAACCCTAAACCCTAAACCCTAAACCCTAAACCCTAAACCCTAAACCCCAAGGGTCCTTGTGGTCTTCGTTTCATCCTCTTTCGCCGGCCTGCAGCAGCCTGTCCTGATCGAGCCCAAGCGATCTCTTGGCGGGGTTTGCTCGGCTGATGCCCATTTCTGGGAGGTTTAGGGCTTAGGGTTTAGGGTTCTTATGCCCATTTTGGGGGGGTTAGGGTTTAGGGTTTAGGGTTTAGGGTTTAGGGTTCTTATGCCCATTTTGGGGTTTTAGGGTTTAGGGTTCTAAGGTTTTTGGACATTCGTTTCGATTGCGGGCTGTTTGCCACCGAAGTTGATTGCCGAAAGCAGTCGCGGCTCGTGCCGAATGGTCCTGCCCCGGTCGCCAGCGGCCACCTTTTACGCGTTGCAGGCGGGGACCCTGCTTCTGCTTTGGATCGCGGTGCTTGTCGGAAGTGGTGTGGACTTCCTTCGGCTGGGCGAGAAGTTGTCGAACACGGCGTTGAGGCCATCATGGATGCCGAAGAAGTGCTTTCTAACGCTGCTGCGCTCGGACGTCTATCGCCCCGCTGCGTACAGCATCGTTCCCTACATGTTTCTGCACGCTTACGCCGTGGAAGAGCTGGAGGGGATGCCTCTGATGGTAGCTTGCTCGCGGTCCGTGGCTGCGCTTGCCGTCACAATCTTCCACCTTGGCGACTCCTCGCGGACGAGCAGTCACCGAGACTACCTGATGCTGTACATCTGCTGGGTCCTCGCCGCGTGCGGATGGATCAATCTGCTCGTGCCTTCGGGGGTGGACGATGTGGCCCAGGCCCTGGCGTTCGGCTTCTCGGTAGGGTCTTGGGACATTGCATATCTTCCCTTATTGGGTTTGAAAGAGGGTCATGTTCAGGAATATGTTCCCTTCTTGGGTTTAAGGAGGGCCCGAGGCATAGTGTCCATTATTGGGTTTAAAGAGGGTCATATCTAGGAATATTAACCCTACACCCTAAACCCTAAACTCTAAACCGTAAACTCTAGGAATACCTTTTCAGAGGGTTTTTTCAGTGCCCTCCGAGGCTTGTGCATCTGGTACATCTTCAGCTGCGGGGTTTCGAAGGTCGTTGTGGCGGGCAGTGTCGCCGGGAAGGAGAGCGCAGCGGCGGCGCTGGCTCATGGATTCCAGGACGGACCTAGGGTTTAGGGTTTAGGGTTTAGGGTTTAGGGTTTAGGGTTTAGGGTTTAGGGTTTAGGGTTTGGGGTTCAGGGTTTAGGGTTTCGGAGCTCCGAAGCCCAAAAGCTCCCCCAAAAGCCTAAACTCAAGAACTCAGCTCCCCAAACTTTCCTACGACCCGGAATTCTCTAGTTAAACCCTAAACCTTAAACCCTAAACCTTAAACCCTAAACCCTAAACCCTAAACCCTAAACCCTAACACCTAAGCCCTAAATTCCCTGAAGCCCCAGGAGTGGGCCTTTGGTGACACGCTGAACGCCATCCTCGAGACCTTCGCGCGGAAGTCGCCGAGGGGGGGAGGGCCTGTGCGACTCGGATCTTCAGATTCAGGGTTTAGGGTTTAGGGTTTAGGGTTTAGGGTTTAGGGTTTAGGGTTTAGGGTTTCGGGTTTAGGGTTTTGCAGCTGTGGGGTTTGAGGGTTGCAGGGGTTTTGGTGTGAAAGTTTACGGGGTTTATAGGGTTTAGAGGTTTGTATAGGCTTTACAGGCTTTCGGGGTTGCAGAGTTTGTAGGGTTCGAGGTGTGTAGGGTTCGGAAGGATTCATATTTGCTTTTAGCGCTTAGGCTTAGGGTGCCAGCTCCAGGGGCCCCCCTATACTTACTTCGCCTTTAGTTGAACTTTAAACTTTTTGGGTTTCCTTATATAGTAGGAATATTAAAGTTTAACCTTTTTCCCCCTTGGCTATTGGAGAAGTAAGTATAACAGGGTCTTAGGGTTCAAGGATTCGAGGCTTCAACTCCTAAGCTGCAGCTACCTGCAGGGTTTAGGGTTTTATACGGGGGTTTCAGATAGGGTTTAGGGTTTAGGGAGTCTAGGGTTTAGGGCTTAGGGTGCAGGGCTTAAGTGCCACCTCAGAACCTGCTACGCACTCGCTGAGCAAGCAGCGCTTCGGGAAGCAAGCCCCAACAGCCTGAATTCTTTAAAAAATCTTAAGCCCTTATAGGGCCCCCTAAACCTCAAGCCCCCTAAGGCCCCTAAACCTCTAAGTTTAGAGTTTAGGGTTTAGGGTGTGGGGTTTAGGGCTTAGGGTAAGGCTATCCCCCAAGCTCCCGAAAGCCCCAAGGCTCGGGAAGCTCACCCGCAGCATCGTCCTCACCACGCCGCTGCTGGCGGATGAGGCCTCCTTCGGCATCCCGAGCAGGGCGTAGCTGGGATTCTCAGGGGCTTCGAGAGTTTTTACGATGTTTGTCAAGGGCTTCTCAGAAAATTTGGGAAGGCTTCGGGGCTTGGGTTTTGGAGGTTTTACGGGGTTTCGGGGCTTTTGGAGTTGGTTTTGACCGCGCTGTAGCGGGTTCTAAGGGGAGTTTTCTTTCGGGGTTCCGGGCTTCAGGAGTTTTGGGGTGTTCAGGGTTCACTTGCACCTAGACCCTGAACCCTAAGAACCGGAACTGCCCAGGAAACGTGCGATGCTGAATGCCTGCGCCTTCGCGACCCTGGTCTTCGAGTGTGTCCTGGCACCCATCTGCCTGCTGGTGCCAATCTTTTCGATGAACGCTCCCCATCTCGAAGCCGGCTACCACCTTTTCATCGGAGGTGGCATGATCTTCTTGCATCTGGCAATCGGCGCTTTGCAGTCGGGTGCCATCGGAGCATTCTTCCTGCCCTGCGCCGCCAGCTACGTGTATGGGCTCTCCTTCACAACGTCTTTTTCGAGTTCGGTGATTGGGGTGACGTCTTCGTGGGAGTTTTGGCTTCCGGTTGTGGTGACCTTGACACCCGTCCTCGGCGCCTTCTTGGCACGCCCGGCGACTCGACTCTTGCCTGAGCACTGGCCGCTGACTCCTATGGCGCTGTTCCCGTGGAGTGCAGAGCAGTGGATGATGCTCCACAGCTTGCTGGTGCGTGGTGAGACGCGGTTGGTGGCGCTAGCCAGGCAACGGAGCGACAGCCAAGAAGATCTCGTCGGCCAGCGCGTCATCCCCATTGAGTATGATGCGGAGGTGCCGCTGATGGACCGCGTCGTAGCACCACGACCAGACGAAGGCATTGTCGCCTATGATCTGTGGTCAAGGGTGATCGGAATCACCACATTTCAAGACATCATTCTGCAAGCGGTTCTTGAGTCCCCTGCTTCTGCTGCACCGCCAGAGGAGAGGACGAAGGGCATCGCGCAACGGATCCTGGATGCGACGGCGGAGTTCCTGCGCGAGGAGCAGCGCGTGGTGGAGGTCTCCACCGGGAACGTCCTTACCCTGTGTTGCTTTGTGCGCGTGGACAAGCAGCTGCGCATAGCCGAGGTGCTCGCAACTCCGACGGAAAAGCTTTGATGATCTTTGATGCAGAGACGCTTTAAGAGTCTAGAGCTCATTGTTAGCGTTCTTCTTACACACAGCAAGATCAAGAGCTCGCTGCTACCCGACCACAGGGATGCTGGAAAGTGCTAGTTTTTGCCTGTAATTAGGGAGGCCCGAAAACTTCTGAACTCGCATACGTGCAACTTTCATGCCCTGCCTAAGCCCCTCAAGCCTGCACCCTGGCCCCTGCATGCCCGAAGAGCCCAAGCACCCGCAGCCCTCTAGTTAACCCTGAGCTTTGGAGCCCTCAACCAACTCTCCACCTGACTATTGCTTCTCTCCTTGTTGTGAGGAAGGTATGTACATGGCCGGGCGCCTGGACACGGCCCCGAAAAGCCTTAAACCTTCAGTGCACATTGCGTAGAGCAAGAGGAACCCAACGCCTCCTTTACTCCAAACACAGTCGCCCCGCATGCCGCTAGCTATCCACACTGCCCTTCGGATGTACTTTACGAGATGTAGTACAAGAACCCTAAACCCTGTACCCTAAACCCTAAACCCCAAACCCTAAACCCTAAACCCTAAACACTCGTGGAAGCTCCTCCCACTGACCTCGAGACTATCAGATGACATCGTAGTTGGGGTCGAGGTGCACTGCAAGAGGTAATTACCCAGGAAACGCCGGTGTAGATGGCCTCAGGCCACATGTAGTATATGTCACGGTTTACAGAGGGCTGCAGGAGTCAAAGATGCGCCAAAACCACGCAAACAGCACGGAGGGCACCTGGTTTTTGACATGAAATCCTACCT